AGACCTCCAATACACTTTGTTTTACTGGTTATAGAATAGTATTTTGAACGCCCATTCGCATTGGTGGCTGCTCTCAGGGAATCCTGGTTTCTAACAAACTGTTGGATACCTCCCAAAACTATTAACAATTATATGTAATTTAGTTGATTGCCCTTATACCCAAATCTAGACTAAATTTCCCATCCAAAGCTAGGCTACACAAACACAAAAGCTAGGGTACATAAACACAAAACAATTATTTGATCCAAAATATACGTGCATAATCCTATAATTACGTTTTTAACGATGATTTTCATTTGTATTATAATCTGATTGGATTCACGCGATTAAAAAGCTTGACAGAAAAGGAAGACTAATGCATGAACTCGACTCCCGACAGACCTTATTTACAGGTCATGGGAAAAGTACACGAAAGACCTATGCTATTTATAAATCCCTAATGCTAATATTAGCTGTGTCGATTTACTTGATATATGGTAACAATTGCTACCAAATGTTACTGGATGTTGTCAGTTTACTATGTAATCCAATAAATTCTGACCAAAAGAAAGCGAAATGAGAAAGCTAGATTGACAGTTCTATGCGGAGAATTTACTAGGTTTTACTGTGTAAATTTCTTCAAGTAAGATATATCCTGTGCAATTCGATATATTTCGATGAGCCGTTAGCTTTACATTCTGACCAAAGTAAACAAACATTTATTTTATGAATGTTTAATATGAATATGTCAAATGTTAATGCATGCATTTGGCGGATACTTTGTCTTCTTTCTGGATAATATTTCTTTATTGGAGAGCAAACTTTTTCCATTAAATTTACCATATGAATATGTCAAATGTGAATGCATGCATTTGGCGGATACTTTGTCTTCTTTCTGGATAATATTTCTTTATTGGAGAGCAAACTTTTTCCATTAAATTTACCATATGGCCAATAACTTATATTAATTATATAACAATAATATCCAAACAATGGGAATATTTATAGAACAGTTTGTCAATTACTACTTACAACAATCTGTATTATATATTGGGGCCACTTTGTTTCTATTTTTGGCGTAATCCAGGTAGACATACATCTTTTAATGGCCTTTTTTCTGACAGATTACATGCAAGTTGTAATGATGTAATGTTATTTTTCGGAAATTTTTGGTATTTCATCAACTTAGTTTGTGTTTTTTAGTTCCATAATACACAAGTATGGGTTGGCAGCCATTGGTCAGAACAATGTTCTTCAGAGTCAATCATGTACATAGGTCCTGCCGTGGCATCTCATAATGCCTTTGATAGACTACTTATTTGAGGGAATATTCTAGCAATATTCATAAATTTAATTGACTGTTTTATCATGTACATAGGTCCTGCCGTGGCATCTCATAATGCCTTTGATAGACCACTTATTTGAGGGAATATTCTAGCAATATTCATAAATTGAATTGACTAAGGTTTGGTATTGTGTACAGTACCCAACAAGAGTGCCAATATGTAGTACTGGCCGTTCTTCTAGCCATAAAATACTGCAAACGAATTGAGTGTAATTTGGCATTTGGGTTTTCTGATTCATTAATAAAAAATCCGATCTTTGTTTGTTCAAACCCGAGTGCGCGTTCCCGTATGCAAATAAATAAATGGAAAAATCTAAACATTTCAATTGCAGAATATTATGGGCTGTGGAGCAAGACTACAATACATTGATTAATCTAGGCACAACATATTCCAAATGAATTCACAGTAATTTTGCATTTGGAGTTTTGTTAATAGAAGATTCATTTTTTGAATAACCTCCAATACACGTTTGTTTTACTGATTTTTTAATAGTATTTTGAACGCCCAACCAAAGCTAGAGTACATAAACACAAAAAATATTCGATCCAAAATATACGTGCATAATCCTATAATTACGTTTTTAACGATGATTTTCATTTGTATTTTAATCTAATTGGATTCTCGCGATTAAAAAGCTTGGCAGGAAAGGAAGACTAATGCATAAACTCGACTACCGGCAGACCATATTTACAGGTCATGGGAAAAGTACACCGAAAAACCTATGCTATTTATAAAATCCTATTGCTAGCTAATATTAACTGTGTCGATTTACTCGATTTGTGGTAACGATTGCTACCAAATGTTACTGGATGTTGTCAGTTTACTCTGGAACCCAGTAAAAGAAAACTGGATTGACAGTTCTATGCTGAGAACCTACAAGGTGTTACAGTGTAAATTTCTTCTATTTATTAAACTTAAACTTATAGTTAATATAAGCATAATATCAAGATAAAGGTACAGCATTAGCAACAAAGGCCATCAGCTGGTACATGGTATTTAAATAATTATATTGTTTAGTTTAATATATTGAAAGATACAATTGATGTTTTGGATGTTAATAGTTTTAAGCATTTGGAATCCTGTGTTTTGTAGTATTGTGCGTTGTTGTCGAGAAAGTGACGAAAATATTTCCTGGTATTCCAACATGACAATTGATGTTTTGGATGTTAATAGTTTTAAGCATTTGGAATCCTGTGTTTTGTAGTATTGTGCGTTGTTGTCGAGAAAGTGATCTGCATGTTTGGAGGATATGTTTAATTTTAACCACATCGCCACATTTTGGACATTTTTTTGTCGGTATTCCTATTTATCAGGTACTCATGTGTTAATATGGTGTGGCCCATACGTAACCGGGAAAATGTCTTGATTTTTTTTTGTCGATATTAGTTGGATATATTGCAGAGTTTTTATTTGGGTTTATTTCATCATAGTGAGAGTGGTGATAGTTGTTTTTGTTTATATCCTATTTTTTTTTAAGAATGTGATTAATTATATGGGCTTTTATATCGAGCGATTCAATTATATTATCTATTATTAGTGCTGCTTTGCATGCATTTTTTGCGGCAATATCAGCGAAAATATTTCCTGGTATTCCAACATGACCAGGAATCTAAACATGTTTAATTTTGTTGTTACTGGAGATAAGTGCATCCCTTATTTTGTTGATAACTTTCCACTTTGTATTTGCAATATTTTCTACACACTTCATCGCCAATAGAATATCGTATAATATTAACATATTATTTTTGCTCCATTTGGCAATATTTATGGCTTCTATGATTCCTGCGACTTCAGCGGTTAAAACCGAGCAATAATTGGATACTGTTAATTATTGACGAGTTACAGAGAGGATTTTAGGTAAAAGCCTGTTCTTAATCTCAGTGTAATTTTTTTCTTCATTTTGTAACCAATCAGCTATAATTAGGTATTTTTGTTTCTCACTGGGTGGAAAAGTAGCCTGTGCAAAGTTCTATCGCTATCGGAGATATATTTAATGTCTTTATTGCAACATTTACATTAAATCGGTCGAAACTGTATATGTGAGCTATATGGAAATCTGAACCGATTTTCACGAAACTTAACACACGTTACTGTAGACTCAAATAAGTAGGCTATGCAAAATTTCGTGCAAATCGAAAGAAATATAGGGGCTTTAATGCACCACTTACATAAAATCGGACGAAAATATATATGGGAGCTGTGTCTAAATCCGAACCGATTTTCACGAAACTTAACACACATCACCCTAGACTCAATTCATGACGCTATGCAAACTTTCGTGCAAATCGAAAGAAATATAGAAGCTTTAATGCACCATTTACACAAAATCGGACGAAAATATGTGTGGAAGTTACGTCTAAATCTGAACCGATTTCAACAAAACTTAATACACGTCACTCCGGACTCAATTTGGGACGCTGTACAAATTTTAGTCTCAATCGGATAATTATCAGTCACTTTGTTGTACTACAAGTGTGTTGTAGTTACGTCCTTTTGTTTAAGAAAATAGCGAATCAAAAGGACGTGACTGACAAAAACCAAAAACAAAATAAAATTTTTTTAAAAAATAAATTCGACGCTATAGTGCGGTTAAATTTTGAACAAATTTCCAGTCATGCTCCATTTTTAAGGATTTTATAACGTTTTTGCTTCTCCTGTAAAAGTGTAGTTACGTCCGTTTGCATTTATGATGACAATATACTGGATCTAACACATCATGGTAAACTGATTTTTAATGAAGAGTTGGGACTATTTCCAAAGAGATAGAATCCGTAATCTATTTTACTTAGCACTAGTGTTTTGACTAGATAGGTAAGGGCATAGCTTTTGCTGGAAACATATTTTATAATATTTGATCTAGGTATAAGATCCTTTTTAGCTTTAATAAAGTTTTCTTCCACCGGTAATTTCTCTCAAATATTATCCCAAGAATTTTTAACTGGCTAACATAAGGGTATGTTATGTTGTTGACTGAAAAGTCGTTAGGTTGACATTTCTGTTTTCTGCATATATGTAGTATTGATTTAGAATGCGAGATTATTGCTCCCTAGTGTTTAGTTGTTTCTGCTTTTGGCGTTTTACTATTTTAAGAAGCAATGAAGTAAATACAAAGTAAACCAGGCAGACATACATCGTTTAATGGCCTTTTTCTGACAGATTACATGCAAGTTGTAATGATGTAATACATATTTTAAAATTAGTAAAATATGTATTATACTCCTTACTTACTCTTATCATATATCTGCACAGTAATAGCGATACTCCTTCCAAAGTTAATTATTCAGGCCACATATGGTACCAATTTCTAAAAACCCATCCTTCACAAAACATTACAGATTCCAGCTTCTGTAGAACCTTTGAAGAGAATTATTTTTTCTATTTACATCCATATGTGATTACAGTTTTGGTGTTAAACAAGAAACAAAAAGTTTGAAATAAAAAACGCTGATGACATGAATAAAGAAAAGTGTTGTATGAACGGGTTAATTCATGTACGTAATTTTGAGAGCGAACTACGTTGTTCTAATGCCCGTCAGAATATGATATTATTAGAAGTGTGCGTTCACAAATTTATTTAAAGACAATTTATATTAAATATTATTTCGTTATCGAATTGTTTCCAAATACAGAATTGTAATACACGAACTTACATTAATCTGCCTTGATTTTTTTCAGTCGCCGCTCCTCTAAAGGATTTGCATATAAAGTTGATGCGTAAGAATCGTAAAACTGTACATGAGAAAAGCTGGGAATCTGCGTTAAGTAAATTTTGTTTTTCCTATTCGGCACAAGATGCTTGGGAAATAGAACGATTTGGATATAAAAACGCGAGTTTTAAAGTTAAATTAAGAGTACTAAAGGTAGGTTAGGTATATGGTATAGATTGAATCTTGGCAATGTAGTAATATTTTTAATTTTATAGGAACTTCTTGAAAGTCAATTCGAACGAAATACAAAATTCCGAGCTAAAATTCTTACACAATCGGCCGAGTCACTCAGGTCGGAGCCCATAGGACGCGATCGACTGGGACACGCATACTGGGTTACCCAAGACAATGATTCCAATTTAAGAATTTATCAGGAGCATTTGGATGAAGATATATGGCAAGTTGTAGCTACTAACCGTGAAGAGTTTGTTAATTTAATAGAAAGATTGCGAGGAAACGAAGTTGTATTGCCTTCAAATGATATTGGTATAGTTGATGAGGACACCAGCAGCAGCAATAGCATTACAGCATCAATCATTAATCACAATCCAGAAGAGATACCAGCCGAAATAGTTGGCGAAGAACTAAAATTACCTAAATTAAGTATAAAAATATCAAATAAAAGTTTTAATGATGGTGATATTAGTGAGGCTTCCAAAAAAGGTGAAGAAGTTGCTAAAAATAAAAATGAGTATTCAAAAAATAAGGATAACTCTGCTTGTGATGTAAACCCAGACAATGAAGAAGTACGTAAAATTGGGGAATATAGTAAATCCGTAGACAGCAGAAGAGTTGAGGTAAGCCTATTTAAATAAAACTTGTGTTATATTCACCGTACAATGCACAATATTTTTTTTTACTCTTCAGCCCCTAAAAATATCTCAAATGCAAACAGCCAATATGGATAAGGATGACCAGGAATCTACAGGCGATAATGAAAATGAATGTGAAGAAGAGAACAATGAAGATGAGTGCAATAGTGAGAAAAGCAAAAACGAGGAAAATGATAGAAGAGTTGAGGTGAGGAATTATACATTCCAATTCATTCCTAAGAAAATGTAAATATCTATAAATCATTTTAGCCAATACTAATATCACAAAAGCAAATAATATGTAAGGAAAATGAACAAAATAATTCAAAAAACTCCGGTAGAAAGCGACAGACGAGCGAAAGTCGCGAATTATCATGGCAAAAAGAAGATGATAACAACGACTCCGTTCGGGATGAAAAACATTTCCTTCCAGACAATAAGCGATACAAAGTATCAAAAAAATGTGACGATGAAGACAACACTGGCGAAGAAGATAGAGAATACAGTGAGGAGGAAACAAAAACAGAAGAGGATATTGAAGAAGAAGATATAGATTCAGCTGCGGCGGAAGAAGACGAAAACGAAGAAAAGTTAATTGAGGAATTTGATGACGACGATATTCCTAATGTTGTAGTTGGAGAAGCTATCACTGATCCTGTTCTCCATATACAAGGAGAGGGTTCAGGCAAAGATTGTGAATCTGAATTTTTCAATAGTGTTAGCTACAGCTTTGACGATAATCAACAGTTTTGTGTGAGCGATGTCATTGAAGATGATATCATTTTTGTATGCGGAGAAGGATCAGGCACAGATTGTTTAATTGGCAATGCAAAAAGCGAGAATAACGTGACAAGTGACTCTACGCAGAAGGACAAGCTAGAAGTTGACTCAGTTAATGAACCTGAACAAATAAATTCGAGTCACCAAACAGAAGGAGATGTTGATCTCGACAGTAGAAAAACTGTTAACGAGATAGAAAATAAGGAAACAAAAAATGAAATTGCAGAAAACATTCAAAATGATGTTGAGGAAGAGGGCACTGAAATATTAGGTTCTCAAAACTGTACCCCAAAATCCCGAATAACAAGAAATCTTAAAAATAAAACTATTGTAACCATAGATAAAGCCGACGAGAAAAATAGAAAGAAACCGGCATCTACTGATGTTGTAGGGGCAAATGCAGACAAAGATTCGATTATATCAAAAACGGTTGAAGAAAATGATGCAAACCCTCCTAGTATCAATCGAAAGAGGCGGTTGGCTAACTATTCCACTCAACAAAGTCATATTAATTTGCAGTCGGAAAGCGAAATAGATATAAACTCGGAAAACACTGAAGACTACAATAATGAGCAAGATTTGGACGTAGACGAACACGACGTCGGCGGAAAGCGGCTGAAAATGCGACAGAAGCAAAGCAATACCGAGTTAAGAAAAAAAGTTGAGGCGATGAAAGCAGCAGTGCAAGAGGATATTAATTCATCGAGTGGAGGTGAGGAGTGTCCGCAAAGAAGAAGAAAATTGACTTCACCAAAGAAACACATCGAAAAGGAAGTCATTAAGTCCGAACCAACCAACACGTCAGACAATCGCCCCTCTCCATCAAATAACCTTAATGATTCACATGCAAATATTGTTCACAACAAAACAACTTCAAAGACTACGGAAAACAATCCCTCGAATGAAGATCTATCTGCAAGAGACACATCTTCGACCGTAATAAAACAGAGGAAAACATTGGAGGAAATTATTGACAAAAAGTTGAAACAGGCGCACGAAGAAAGCGATGCTGGCACTTGTCCTAAGAAAAGCGTAAAGAATCATTCATCGTCATCGAAAAAAAGCCCTGTAACAAAGCCTTTAAAGAAAAATCTATTAACCCAAATTTGGCACGAAGAAAATGAAATGAAAAGTACTACTGAAAAATCATCAAGTACAAAATATGACAAAATAGACGAGACCACTTCCGTAGTAGACAATAGAAATAATCAAGAGCGCCAAAGAAAGCGACACAGTAGCGAAGAGGCGGATCAACATGTTATCACAGAGGAGCCCGAAGCAAAGAAGGAAGTACCACGAAACGATTTCGGTGTACAAGGTAAAACAGATGTTCCATCCACGGGAGATTCTGAAACTGCGAGTATTGGTCGTAGATCGACGAGGCGGGGTAATGGAAGCAACATCACATCTAATAAACCGAAGGTGCATGATAAGAAAAATTACACAATGCCTGAATCAAATAATTTGAAAGATGTGCCTGCGAACAAAAGGCGTGAATCAGAAAAGGTAGTATATTTCCCTTCACGCCTCATTCATAATCTAATAACAATTTATATTTCAGGCTTCCAGCGAAGACGGTTCTCCAGTTTCAGTAAGTCAAAATAAATCTGTTACAAAAGAGGAAGATGCAACTGAATCTGAAAAGGTATTACTTTTTTGTCTATTTAATACTTTGCAAACGAAATACAGCACCTTTACAGAAAAGCTGATGTGCTTCCATTTACGCTCCATTTATAACTAAATAACAATTTATATTTTAGGCTTCCAGGGAAGAAGGTCCTCCAGTTTCAGCAATTCAAAATAAGACTGCTAAGAAAGAGGAAGATGCAACGGAATCTAAAAAGAAATCAATGGAAAAGCCGACTTCAAAAGAAAAATCGCCAGTAATCCCCGAAAAAAACACTTCTAAAATCCAGCCGTCAACAAAAAAAGTAGTGAAAGGAGTCCGTAAGCAACGTGAGGTTGACACCACAAATATTATTGATACCAACGACGCGGAAACACCAGTACGACAATCAAGGAGAATAGCGCAGTTAAAAATTAGAGAGGAAGCGGAACGTCGCAAACTTGAGGAAATTGCCTTAAGGACTATGAAACAGGAATTAAAGAAGAAAAAGAAGGCAGAAAAACAAGCAGATCCAACAGTCTTGCCACCTTCAGAACCCTCATCAGAATCGGCGGAGAGTGACATTGATACGAAGAAAAAAGTGCAAAAAAAGAAATGTCCGGGCAAGAATGGCAGTTGGTCATCAGGATCGGAAGAACAGGAAGAACCAGATGAAGAAGAGGACGAGGAGCATCATCATTATGAGACGGACCCTGGGTCTCCTCTTTTCAAGTCTGATCATGAATTTTCCCCCGAATCTGATATTGAGGATGAAACTCAAGTAGTACCAACGAAAAGGGCACGTACTGCTCGCAAAGAAAATGATGTAGACAACGAACCAGATGAGGAAGAAGCTTGCCAAAAATGTCATAAATCGGACCATCCCGAATGGATATTATTGTGTGATAAATGTGACAAGGGTTACCATTGTTCCTGTCTTTCGCCCGTACTTTTTTATATCCCAGAGGGTGATTGGTATTGTCCCCCATGCCAACAAGAACAATTGATAAAAGCATTAGAAGGACAGTTGAAGGAATTTGATGAAATGGTTGAGCGTAAGAAACAAGAACAGGAGGAAGTTAAACGCTTGGAGGAGAAAGAAAACGCAAGGCGGAAAGAAGAAGAGGAACTTTCAAGTCAGAACAAAAGAAAATCTAAAAAATATGATAATGGTCGGGATAATAGCAGCAGCGATATTAATACTGATCCAAGTGCCGATAGTGATGATCAATCGAATTCTGGTGAAAGTGAAATTGAAAACAAGAAATCATCGAAAAATAATACAATTGACAAACGCAGACGAAATGATCGTCGACAATATTCAGGTCGTAATACTAGAAGTCATAGACGGAAAACCCACGTTACAAGCGACAGTAATTCTCGTGGAACCTCCAATTCAGAAAGTGCATCAAAAAGCGAATCCTCGTCTTCATTTTCTGATAGTGATGACGAACCAATATATAAATTAAGGAAAAGAAGGCAATTAAACGTTAGTTACAGATTAAATGAATATGATGACCTTATCAACTCTGCGCTTAAAAAGGAAATGGACGAGGTTGCTGGAGCAGGTAATTTAGGCCGAGGAAAAGATATATCAACGATAATAGAAGCAGATAAAGAGGAGAAAGCTCGGCAGAAGCATCTGGAAAGTTCAGATGTACAGGTGGAAAAAGAGGAAAAGGCTGATGATAGTACTGAAAAAGGTGACACAAAAAATATTGAAAGCGAGAGCGAAGATGAGCTAATAAAGGACCTGGTTCAGCCTAAGTCAACAATGAAGAAAAAATCACGTAAACTTACAACGCTAGATATTAGTTCAGAAGGCGACGATGCGTCAGATGAAGATTTTAAGGGTTCGTCGGTGGACGAAGAAGACGAGAGTTTTGGTTCGTGTTCAATAAATAGTGATTCAAGTCTGGAAATATATAAACGTAAAGGTAATTCGAGAAAGAAGCAGAGAAAAGCAGCAAGGCGTGCTTTCCGAGAACGTCGCAGGGATAGAAAATTTATAGTAGACAATAGCGACGACGATGAAGAGGTACAAAAACCAAAATCGAAGAAGAAGCGAAAAGTTGAATCTGATTATACTGAAAGTGAATTAGACGATGACGACTTGTCTGAACTATCAAATAATATCGATAGTGCTGATTTATGTGATGATACCACCACCGATGAATCGGATGGCGCTTGGCGACCCAATAAACGCAAAAAATCTAAAAAATCTTCCCTGTCGGCTTTGGGAAAATCTTCCAAAGCGAAAGCCAGACCTTCAAATAAATCCAAGAAGGAAATATATTCGGACGACGATATAACTGATACTGATGAAGGTGAAAATGACGATGATAGTAACGAAGTGGCTGGAAGTGGAAAACAACCGCGTTCGCAACCACTAAAAACGGGTACAAATCCAAACAAAGCAAAAGTTAAAAAAGTGGTCAACAAAAAATGCTCAGATGAAGAGAAAAGTTTTTCGGATAGTGGCGACAGCACAAGACGCACTCGTGGAAGAAGGTATGCTTACATAGAGGATTTCGACGATGATAGTTCAGATGGTGGAATTAAACCTGGCGTCAAACGTCCAGATACGCCACCAGAGGAACGTGAAAAATTCATAAAGCGCCAGGAAGAGATTAAACGTATGTTAGCAGAAAAAAATGCTGAAGGAGCAAAACTAGTTGCTACGCCTCGTCTTACACCTATCAAAAGTGAACCTGAAAAGGAGAAAAAATCACCTTCGAAATCAGGGGGAGATGCTTTGTCTACCGTACCGATGTCCGTAATACGACAAGCCAAGGTACTAGACATTGATTATCTGCAACGCCGGGGTGAGCCATTAGATGATTCGCTCAATGATGTGGGCGATGTGGATGATGAATTCGATGATGCCGATTTACCCGATGATCTGCCTGATGATATGGATGAAGATGCCATTGCACGTATGGTTGAAGACGAAGAGGATTTTGCTGCTGTTACAACAAGGGATTTACCACCACCTGACGAGATAATACGAACCACACCTGCCTCTATAAAAACTAAACCGAAAGCTGTAGAAAATATACCGACTACGGATAAAAATACCGAACTTGCAGCTGCACCTCTACAACCAGTGATAACTGCTTCTCCTTCTGGGCTCCAAGAACCTGTTAGAAAACGCTTTCCTATGCCTACAATGCATCCTCCCCTTTTACGTCACCAACAGCATGACAATATGCACGGGGTGCATAATGCAGTTCAACGTAATATTACTCCTCATTTGACTCATTTATTACAGAATGCTCTATCCTCGCCCGTAAATCAATCGTTCCCTAGTTCATACTCAATGCCACCAACTTCACAAAATAATCAATCTCTAATTTCTCGAATGACAAACAATGCACAAGTACAATCTTCTCCAACTCCCGTCAATCCTCCATGTCGAACGTCTTCACCTTTAATTGTTAAATCGACACAGCAAATAAATATGCAGTCGCAAAACAAAGCATCGGCTCCAACGCCCGAGTCCGAAGTTAAGCCCCGAGGACGTCGAAAGAAAATTACACCACTACGGGACACTTTACAAAAGCAACAGACAGCGGCTGCAGTAGCTGCAGCGGCTTCTGCTTCTACTTCAGCCAGTATTGCAAATTCATCTACTGGAATAATTAAATCTCCATATTCGTTCAAAACATCCGATAGTGTTACAAAGGAATCTCCACCCACTAAGGTTCCCGAAGCACAAGGAAATATAACTGCCCCTATTCAGCCTCGTTCCTTAAACACAATCCAAGCTGGACATATATTTGCGGGATCAGAAGGTTCAATTATTTTTTTATTTTTGTCGCATTATATAATAATAACATGTTTGTTTTTTAAGGTTTTTACGGTGCTCCTCCATCATCGCGCATTCCACCTTCCAACACTCAACGACATCGGGGTCCGCCACCAATACCACAAGGCCATTTACTACCCCATTCAGCAGTACGACACACGTATGGCCCACCGCCCCCGCTAAAGGGAACAATAACTACACCACCATCATCTAGTTCCAGCAATATAAGACCCCAGGTGCATTTGCCACCTTTTATTGGAAGTGTGCCACCAGCGAGACATTCTGGCTCTCACCTCAATGTATACGGGTACGAGAATATCTTAATTAACTACTCATACAAGTCCTAATAATTTTGTTTACCATAGACCACCTATATACGGAAATCCAACTTTTGTCCATCGTGGAAATC